AAACACCATACTATGAAGGGTTGTGAGGCACTGGAACAAACTATCCAGAGAAGCACATTCCACATCCTCGGAATCATTCAAGGCCATGTTAAATAGAGGCCCTGTGTAAGCTGATCTCGTGGAAGGCATCCCTGCCCATGGCAGGGGACTTAGAACTAGATCATCCTTAAAGTCCTTTCCAACCCAATCTATTCTAGCAATCCAGGAAAAGTGGCCATATAAGTACATCTGCCAGCACCCTTAGCATTAATGGGCTCATTCTGGCAGGGTTCATGGACTTATATACACTCAGTCAGTTTAAGTGCTACCTGGCCTGATCCTCTTCCACCAAACATTTCTCTTCTTTCCTCCAGTATCTACCCCTGCTCCTTGGAGCCTGGGATTCCCAGAGACTGGTCTTGTTAGCAAAGATCAAGTCAAAGAAGACTTTGGCTATCTCAACATTTTCCATGTCCTGTGTCACCCAGAACGATTCAGCAGTGGATCCACATTTTCCCAATTCCGGTTGGATTTTGGCTTTCTGGACCGCATTTCTGCATGTTCAGACAGAGCACAAGTATTTGAAAGACAATCATTTCTAATTATCCCACGCACCTTCATCATGTAAACTGACAGCGAGATGCACAATCATGGAATGCTGTCACAGGTTATCCTTAGATATAAGTCCGTGATAGGGGGCACAGGCACTGGGAAGAAGAGAGGAAAAAAAAGGTATGGACGGTTTGCCGCAACCCGGCCGGCCCCGGGCCACATGCAACCCGGCCGACCCCGGGCCACATGCGCTCCGGGAGAGGGGGAAGGGCAGAGAGCTAGCAGATAGTTTTAACAAAAAGAAAACAGAACGGCAACGATCTGAGGAGGAAGGGTAATTTACTGAATCTAACTAAATAAAGAGCAGAGAGCTAGCAGATAGTTTTAACAAAAAGAAAACAGAACAGCAACGATCTGAGGAGGAAGGGTAATTTACTGAATCTAACTAAATCAAACAGAACGAGAGAGACAAGAGTATCAAAAAATGAGAGTCAAACCACGATAGTGCGAGGGAAAGCACGCGCTTTCTCCGCGGCGGGCTGAGACGGCTGAGCCGGGCCAGACGGGGAGAAGCAGCCGCTCCGGGTCCCGTCCGCAGCTCCACCCCACTGCTCCTCCGGGGATGCCGCCCCCTCTCCTCCCATCGGGATGCTCAAAGAGTCCACAACAGTAAACGGAACCAGAACTCGTTAACTCCCACTGGTCCACATGATGTTCTGATGTGGAATACTGACAACAGAAAAATCACAAAACCACAACAACTGCATACCACGTGCACACACATACCACAAACTGGGGGGATGCTCTGAAGAGGCAGGCAGAGACTAAGAACACTTGGGGCTCAAGGGATGTTGGCGCTCAGTCGAGTTAGAGAGCTCTCACAGTTTCTTGTAGCATCAGAATAGTTCTCCAAATAGTTCTGCTTTATTGTGTTCAACATACATCTTATATTCCATTCACTTACAAGCTAGAAATTCCTGTCCCTCTAATCAGTTAATTGGCCTAGCTTCTCCCAAAACACAATAATAAAGGATGAAAGGTTTCTTAAGTGTGATAGTGTTAACAATGCATACAAACAGAACCTCCTGTTTACCCTTAGACACAAACAGATACCATTTGCTCTCTGTCTTACACTCCGGACTCCCAAGGTTTCACAGTGATAGGGTCTATCAAGGAGTCTGATAAACTCTTTGCTGACTTGCTCACAGTTACATCTTCCCCCCACAAGGGGACAATGAAGGAGTGGTTCTTCACAACCTCTGCAAAGGAAGCTGAATTATCTCAAAAGAAACCAGAGGGCTCATTTGCTGTAGACAAGCTGCCTTCTCAGGTAACAGCTACTATCAGTTGCCTAACTGTCTGTCACTGGCTTAAAGAAGTGCAGACCTAGAGCAGGACAAAATTAACTTCAGGTATATCTTACTGAGAAAGAAACTAAGCTTGTTTGTTAGGATGGAAGATAGTCTCTCTCACCCCAGAATTAGGTCAAGTACCTTAAGAGCTGGATGAACTGCATGAGTTATGTCCAGCCACAGAGCTGCAGTCTCTGGTACATCAGGAACACTAAGAACTTCTGCTGAGGATCATTCTAGATAGATGCTGCTCTGACAATATCAGGCACCTTCACAAAGCAGTTTACATCTGCCGTAAGCGTATGAATGGCCCAGTACTTCTCTTTTATGCCAATATCCTTAGTGAGAGAGGACTCAATCCCTGCTGCTCTGCACTCTCTCCTATTCCTAGAGAAATAAACAACTTCTGCCTGACCTCAACCCCTTAAGCAGATTGCTCCTTCAAGGAACTGGGGCACGTGAAGAGCCCACCCTGCAGCAGGTTTATGCTAAAGGACCCACGCTGAAGCACTGAGAGGAGCGACAGAGAGGAGCCGTTATGAACTGACCACAGTCGCCATTCCCCATCCTGTGTCACCTGGAGCAAGTGAAGCTGTGAATGAAGGAGTGAAGTTGGGCCCAGGAAAAAGGAAAGGGTGGGAGAAAGGTATTTTGGCTTTGTTTCTCACCATCCAGCCTATTTTAATTGGCAATAAATTAAACTAATTTTACCCAAGTGAAGTAAGCTTTACCCATTACAGCAATTGGTAGGTGATCTCCCTGTCCTTACCTTGACCCATGAGCTTTCTCAGCTTATTTACTCCCCCTGACCTGTTGGGAAGGGGCAGTGAGAGATTGGCTGCATAGGACTCCAGTAGCAGTCCAAAGTCTAACTACCACACAAAGCACTTTGTTTTGCTCTTGCACAACTTCTGCTTTACCTAGTAAACTGTCTTTATCTCAACCCATGAGATCTCGCATTTTCACCTTTCGCCTTCTTTTCCCCATCTCACCTGGGGAGAGTGCGCAAGTGGCTGTGTGGTACGTAAATGTCTGCCAGGGTTAAACCACAAGACATGTTTATATAAACCAGGGATTTAAAAGAGAACACTTAATACATGTTTTCATCCTAATAGCATACCTCTGTCTGGAGACCTGAGCCTTCAGGGAGCACAGGAAAATTCAAATACCTCTTCCCTTTATCCGTAGCAGCCCTTAAAATCAGGGAGAAGATACTGTGTCTTGCAGAGGAAAACTAATTTCATTTTTCCTCTGTATTGATAATTTTTCTTCCATTGTGTCTTTGGAATTATTATCCCAACTGGAGAGAGAGAGAGAATTCAACCCATTTTGGAATCCTAAGGTAATATTTCAATTTCTGTTCTTCATTGCTGGTTGGCTTCTAAGGAAAACAAAACATAAGTGGTTTATAAGGTTTATTTCTCTAATTGGAGCCCGGAGTTGCTGATAAGATATCCAAAAGGAATCTATCCAACCTACCCTTATGCACTAGCAGTACAGATTTTTATATCTGAATCACCTGGTCGACTAAGAGAAATAAATTCTCTCTCACTTGAGTAGCTTGTCTTATTTTAAATGTCTATGGTAGAGGAAGATTAATCACACTGACTAAATGCTTATTTCTTCTTTCTGTTGTTTACAAAAAAAAAAAAAAAAGGTCATAACTGGAGCAGCCTATTTTACAGATTAATATACTGAATGAATATAATGAATCACAGTGTCTCTCTAACTCATCTACGTATTTTCTCTTTCACCACTGTGAAATAAAAGTGAAAAATGAGCTCAGAAACTCTGAGAACCCAAAGACTCCAAAACTGTAAGCTATTTTATGACTTTTAGTGACACAGTTTCATTGCTGTTTAGGTAATAAGAGCTTTTCTTCACCTGCAGGTTGAAGCCAAATTCCCACTGTACATACATATATCTTCATAATACACTAAGCCCTTTGTTTTTCATTAGACATTTGGAATTCTTGACACACTTGCGCATTGTCCTGTAGAATAATAGCTAATTCTTAGTTTTGTTACAGCGAAGCTGATGTTCAGATCCTCCCTGCCAGATTATCTCACTCCAAATGGTATAAGTACAGAAGAGAAATACATATACATATTCTGTTATTGCGTCTGTCTCTCTCAAATATCAGCCAAGCAGACTTTGGCTGAAACACCAGGATGTTTCCCAGACAAATAAACTCACTGACAGATCTGACGAGATGATTTAGTCCCAAGAAAATGGCAGCAAGGAGCAGATTCAGGTGACCACATTATGTAGACTGCTGTCTGCATCTTCTTACTTCTGAGCTTACTTCAAGTTAAAATTCAGGATATGGATTTTATATCGTTTGATGAAAAAGTGTAAGCATGTGAATATTTGTATGGATTTAAGCTTGGTTAGATTTGTTCTGTACTTTTGCAGGTAGAGTTGACAATGAAAATAATAGTCAGGTCATCGTTGCTTGAGTCAAGTTAGTAGGTGGAAACTCACAAAGATAGACGTATCACCTAGCTTTGAGAACCAAGCATGAAGTGAATTTCACTTAATTCCAGATATCCAACTGTTTGTTCACTATGTCTTGAATTTCATGATAAGTGATACCATCAATCCAAGCATCTTTGGACATTCATCTTAGGAATTGTGTTTCTGCATTGTGCCGTATTTCTCCTTGTTAAATACAAATTGTTTCTAGGTCACCTAGCTCGCATCCAGGTGACTATAAATATTTAGACACTGAAGTTAACTGAGAGACATCCAGCCAACTGAAACTGACCACAAATCTCACTCATTTGATAACATAAGCTGAACTTTGGAGGTATCTACTTCTTTCTGTAGAACGTAAGCACAGAACGGTTATTGGAAGTTTGTAGGTTTATCTTTTTTGCACCTAAGTTACAGGTGATTCTCAGCCTGTGACCGTAAGGATGTTCTTGTGCAGGTTCCCCAGCAGAGATCTTTTATTCAAAGGTCACAGTCATATCCAATCTTAAGCCTCATCTCATGTTTTATGCCCGGTATTACTTGCAGCTGTAAGTACTTCTGAGACCTTCTGAGGTCTGTCCCAAGCTACTAATCCGTTTGTAGTGTGTGGTTTTTTTGTTGTTTTTTTTTTTCTCTTTTAGGATGAGAATTCTTGAAGAAACAAAGCCTGGAAACCAAACCACCGTTACTCACTTCTTACTTTGGGGGTTTGGCCTACGTGGCAAGATGCACCTCCTATTTTCCATAGTGATTTCTGTCACATTCCTGGTCACCATGATAGGTAACTCTCTAATTGTGGTGATCACAGTCATTGACTCTGCCCCGCATACTCCCATGTACTACTTCCTAAAGAATCTCGCCTTGACAGAGATCTGCTACAGCTTGAGTATTGTCCCCAGGATGCTCTTGATTCTGCTGGGGGAGAGAAAAATTATTTCCTTCCCAGCTTGTGCCTTGCAACTCAGTTGTGCTATACTTTTTGTCATGTGTGAGTGCTTTCTCTTAGGTGTAATGGCTTATGACCGACAAGTGGCAATATGCCACCCACTGCATTATGGCACCATGATGAACAGGGACCTCTGCTTCAAGATGGCTGTTGGGTCTTGGCTCTCTGGGATACCAGTTGCTCTGGTCTTCCCCACATGGCTGTTTACTCTGCCCTTCTGTGGGAGAAACAAGGTGGATCATTTCTTTTGTGATGTTTCTCCCGTGTTGAAGCTGGTGTGTGCAGACACAGCTTTGTTTGAACTACTGATTTTTATTTCTACAGTCATAATAGTGATGATCCCCTTTTCACTGATCATTATTTCTTACCTTCTCATTATTCATGCTGTTCTTCAGATACCCTCAGCCATGGGCCAGAGGCAGGCCTTTTCCACATGTACAGCTCACCTGGTGGTAGTAACTCTTTTCTACAGCACAGCAGGCATCATTCACTTGCGTCCTAGGTCCAGCCTCTCAAGCAATATGAAGAAAATGGTTTCCCTCTCTTACACAGTTGTTACGCCTATGATCAACCCCTTCATCTACAGCTTGAGGAATCAGAAGGTCAAGCAAAGCCTGAGGAAATGCATCAACAAGAGGCTGCTTGGGAAGCAGATGATCTTTTCTCTGTCCAGCTCATGAGTTCCTCATAGCTGCACAGGAAATAAGTGTTACCCTACTGAATAATTTTAAGAGGTATTTCTGAAAGAAGTTAAGTGCCTTTCAAAAAGATGTGTTATTTTAGCAATCCTTTGCTGTTACGTCCATACAATATCAGGCCCTTTTTACTGAGCGTATAAGAATAAATTATTGTGATTTTACCTCTGGCCTTGCAAGCAACTAAGTAAATCTGAAAAAGTAGGGGAATATTTGAAAAGTCAGCATCTTTGTTGTAATATTTGATTCATCCCCCATCATAAGTGGTGTACATAACTGGTAACTTATGTACCAAGATAGGAAAAGTCTCTAGCAATGACACCTGTTGTCCCAGTGGATATAGCATTTACTTTGTTCTTGCGGGTGGCCCAGACAAACTAAAAGAAATCACTGTCCAAAGGAGGACTTTCCAGACGTGTTGTCTATAAGAGATCTAAATAACAAGCTTAGATTTTGAGTAAAAGCCAGGTCCAGATCCTATCACTAAAGTAGTCTTCCAGAACTCACAACTTCATCTCTTCTCTGCTTCCTGACACCTGCTCTCAGCCCCTTCCAACAGACAGCTGAATGAACCATAAACAGATAAAAATCTGTTCATTTCTGTTTCAGATTTAGTCATCAAAGCACCTGATATAATCCTCTGTATGGAGGAAAGCTGTCATTTCTAGTCAAATTTCATCCTTGCACAGATGCCACAGAGAGTTCAAATGAGTTTCGGAAAGCAAACGGTATCCTGGGCTCCATCAGAAGAGGGGTGGCCAAAAGGGACAGGGAGGTGATTGTCCCCCTCTACTTTGCTCTTGTGAGGCCCCATCTGGAGTACTGCGCCCAGGTCTGAAGTCTCCAGTACAAGAAAGACTTGGAGATGTTGGAGAGAGTCCAGAGGAGAGCCACAAAGATGATCAGGGGCCTTGAGCACCTCCCCTACGAAGACAGGCTGAAGGAGCTGGGCTTGTTCAGCCTGGAGAAAAGAAGGCTGCAGGGTGACCTCATTGCAGCCTTTCAGTACCTAAAGAGAGCCTACAAACAGGAGGGGAACCAACTCTTTGAAAGGGTAGATAACTGCAGGACAAGGGGAAACGGTTTTAAGTTGAGGGAGGGGAGATTTAGGTTGGACATCAGGGGGAAGTTCTTTACTATGAGAATGGTGAAGTGCAGGAACAGCTGCCCAGAGAGGTTCTGGATGCCCTGTCCAGGGAGGTGCTCAAGGCCAGATTGGAAGGGACCCTGGGCAGCCTGGTCTAATATTAAATGGGGAGGTTCGTGGCACTACATGTGGCAGGGGGTTGGAGATTCGTTATCCTTGAGGTCCCTTCCAACCCTGGCCATTCTGTGATTCTGTAATTCATTCTGTGAGTTGCATACCAGAAGTTCCCATTTCTGTTTATTGTTCTGTAGAGTCCTGGTGACTGATTTCAATGCAAAAATATCTCACTTTGATACTCCCTACACATGCTACATGAAGACCTGTGAGTTTTTTTATATTGTCTTTGAGGGAAATTCACCCTGCTTGTACTTGGCATGTCTCAGAGAAAAAGAAGTAAACTGCTCTCCCAGCTACAGGTGGAACAGGAGTGCTGAGCTTAGACCAAGCTTCTAGATAGTAAATATCTCAATTACATCAGAGAATTCTTCTCCAATCTAGTTATATCCAAGAAAAATATCTGTAACTTCAGATACCGCAGTCCTCAGTGCTGATGTTCAGTCATGGTACCTGTGACATGGGCTTATATATATTGAATACATATAATGTGTCAGGGGGATTCGGTGTGGAGCCAAGAGTTGGACTCAGTGATCCTTGTGGCTCCCTTCCAACATGGGATGTTCTGTGATTCTATGATATGATACTTGTTGCCTGAGCTTGCCATCGGGTCTCTACAGCCAATCTTAGTGCAAATTATTCCTTAGAAGAGCAGGAAGACTTTCCTTCTGAAGCACGGAGAACCTCTGAAATAACTTGCTGGGAATTTTAGAGCAGCAAACTCCAGATTAACTACTTGTTGATGTAGCCTCTCCTTCAAAATAAATGTGAACAAACATACTTGAAGTCACCCCACCGGATTCTCCTCTCAGCTCAAGCAAGTCATTTTAGCCTTATATTAACCCTTAGGCCAGATGAAGAAAGCAAGAAGAAGAAAATACTTCTGACCTTTGGAAATATCGAGAAAACCTCCACTTTCAACTAGCTACACTACAAGCTCCCAGAAGTTCCCTCATATGGGTTACAACTGCAGCCATGCTAGAGAAAGCAGCTTGGCAATACCATACAGGGTTACGTCCTCTATCCAACTGCTTCTACTTGTCTCTCTTGTCAATCCAAACGATTCCACGTTTGGGGGCTATGATCGGATGCAACAAACATTTTGGCTTCCTAAATGGTTCACATCCATTTAACTTCTTTCAAATTAACCTCTTATTTAAAATATAGTTATTGACTCGCTTCTAAAAGAAAATTGGCTTGGAAATGTAAAATATACAAAAGCGATAAACATCAATATCTTTCCTGAACTTTAAGTTTTAATTTTGCTGTCCAGAATGATTTTCTAAAATTGGCCAGAATCTTGCAAATATTCCCCATGCTTCTCTATTTCTTTGTTAAAAAAAAGACCATGCATGCATGGTACGCATTTGTATTCTTAATAATTTCTCTGCATAAATATCCATTAAATTTTCTTCTACCTTTTTCTCCATTCATACAAATGCTTACTTCCTGTCTGACGACCTACCAAACATTTTTTCTATCAGCTTGATATTTGTACTATCTCATATTTGTCTGTTTAATTCCGGGACAAGGATCATCTGTAATTCCCATCTCTGATCTCTCTGTCATATGGTGGCGCTCGTATCTACGTATTGGTTCGTGTGTCTTCTGATCGCATGCCCGTCTCTAGCAATGCAGCCTGGGTTCATTGTGTTGGTGTCTCTTGCAGTCAGTGTTCCAAAGCACTATTCAGTTTCTGAGTAATCTTATACTTAAGCATGAGTTTTGGTAGCATTGTCTCTCCTATGGAAGGAGATGTCAGCAGGGGCATTACTGAGAGCTTCATGCTCCGGAGAAACCGCTGAAAACATGCAGTCCACAAGATACTTCACCTCAAAGGTAATATTCAGTTTATGTTGCTAGCATCAGCCTCCACCAGAAATGGACAGTTAATAAGGTCACTTGGAACTCATTCAATTTAAATACAAAACAAGAAGTACTGTGCTGCAACATGTGCTTATTAAAAGCCTTAAGTCTAGCAACACTTTTCCTGAGAGAAGATTTCACCTGTCAACTCCCTCATGACTGTGCAGAAAATTAGCAACAACAAATAAAAATTAAAAAAGAAAAAAAAATTAGAAAAATCTTGTTATACATTGCTTGGTCTAACGAGCCTAACAAGGTTGAAATTATAGTGCAAAGGGCAAACTCAGAGTTGAAGTTTCCTGGTGTTTTAATGGGGCCTTCTGAGACTATTAGACATGGAGCTGTTGCAGGAGATCTAAGTGGTCCTCTGGAGAGGAGCTGATTAGAAGTAGAAAATGAGAGCATGTTTAGAGGCAAAGAAAAGAAGAAACAAAAAAAGGGGTAAGGCGCTGATGCCCAGCATTACCTTTGCAGCCCTCGCCTGAATGAAGTTTCTTTATGGTCAGCATAGAGCATACAGAACACACACTCTCTGCACATGTACATCTCTGGGAGGAGGCAGAGGAGGACAGCCAAGCTGCCTGAGCAAAGGTCCCCTCCTGCTCTCCTTGCTGCTGCAGCCAAAACTAGCCAAGACTCTGTTAAAGGGACAGACCTCCCTGTCACAGTACAACTCTACAGTATCTTCCCTTTGAGAACAACCTCTGTGACTACTGTCCCATAACTGCCGTGTACATCGTTGGTATCAGCCTGGCCTACACATCACTGCTGTCCCAGCCTTGGGGCTACTCTCATCCCCTGTGCTCATAAGCCTCATACACTGCCGCTCAGTCCTGAAACACAGCCCTTAACCTCAGTTTTCATGATAAAACCTCTACCTTAGCCCGTAGGCCGCCAGCAGCCCAGCCTCACAGAGGCAGTACCCAACTTTTCCATGTGGAATCTCCTGCCCTCGACTAGATCCCCACCAGATGCCATTATTTTAGTGCTGCTTCACAGACTGCTCTTGCAGCTCCTGAACTTCCACTTGCCACAAACTCTTCCCCTGGCTTTCTGGGAGTGGATGGCTGAAGAGCATCTTCTCCTAGGTGATGTGATATTTCTCCATCTGTAGTCCCAGCCCTGCCCTTCAGCTCCACTCAGTGGATATACGATCTCCCATTCTCAGCATCATACCCTCTTCCCCATCCCAAAACCTCAACCAGTTCCCTGAAATACCACCCCCCAAAGTCCACCCACCTCAGCAGTGCACAGTTCACCCACTGCCTTCACTGAACTGACTCCAGTAGCTGGCGCTACTCCGTACGGCAGCTAGCAGCTCCCTGTGGTGGCCTGCAGCTCTTTACGGTGACCTGCAACTCCCTCATGGCAGCTGCAGCTCCTCATAGGGGCAGCACTGATCTCTGCTCTGTGCTGACCATGACAGGATGCACAGCAGCAGCATGGAGCTTGCGTCAGGGAGGGTCGGGGTGGACATGAGGAAAAGGCTGGGATGGCGTGTGGGAGACACGTCTGAGGCACCGCACTGACTCCTGAATTCCTGTAAGAGGCTTAATTCAACACAGGACATTTTCTCTTCTTGTGGCTTTTGACTTCCAAGTCACCTAAATAAGGAGGAAGGGTGACAAATATGCTTTCAGTTCATTCAGCATTATTTTTTAGATAGTTTTCATCTTGGTTTCCCAGGATGTTGGTCTGTTTTGTGTGTGCGTGTGTGCGTGTGTTTTTAATAGGCCAATTTGAGCTTAATCAGAAACATCTAGGTGTGTATTTATTTTTTTCCAAATAACTACTCGTCTCTCCTTGTGACTAGGTAAATCACCAGATCAGTACCACGTGCTTGCTGTAGAAATGACCT